CTGCGGAGCTGTGCCTGCTCGCCGGCGAGTCAGTTCGGCCTTCCGCGCGTGGCTGCTCGCCTCCTTGCCTTCCGCCCCGTGGGTCGGTCTACATTGGTTTACTTGCGTGGTTTATTTTTGTTCTGGAGACCTAGTTCTGGAGGAATACATTTGCCCGCTCCCACCTGGCTAATGTCGAGGCCCGCCCCTTCTTTTGGCAGCCCGGCCGCGGCCACCATGGCGCTGCCCGCAGGCCCAGCCGCCCTCCCGCACACACTGCTGCTCCTGCCAGCCCTCCTGAGCTCAGGTACACCCCTCTGCAGGCACTTCCGGGCCGCGCCTTCTCTCCCCTTCTTGCCTGCACCTCGGTTTGGGGCGCCTTCAGGCCCTCGGCTCCAGCGCTGGGTTTCCCGACCCACGTGCCCACGGTGCAGCCACTCCCTGTGGGAGACCTCTCCGCCTGCTGCCCCTCGGTAACTGGGCCTCATCGTGGTCACAGAGCAGTGCCAGCCCGACCCAGAACGTTCTGTCGTGTTCCAGGTTGGGGGGAGTTGGCGCCGCAAATCGATGGCCAGGCGTGGGCTGAGCGGGCACTTCGGGAGAATGAACGCCACCCCTTCACCTGCCGAGTGGCGGGGGTGTCTGGCACCCCCCGATTGGCCTGGTACCTGGATGGACAGCTGCAGGAGGCCAGCACCTCACGGCTGCTGCGTGTGGGCGGGGAGGTCTTCTCCGGGGGCACCAGCACCCTCACTGTCACTGCGCAGCGGTCCCAGCATGAGCTCAACTGCTCCCTGCAGGACCCGGGCAGTGGCCCGGCCGCCAACGCCTCGGTCATCCTCAATGTGCAATGTGAGTGTCCCCGAGGTGGGCAGGGGGCGAGGTCCTCTGCCCGGGGACCCCCAGCAGCCACATAGCAGATGGTCTGATAGGACATTGAACACACATTTAAGCGCTTTGCAAATATTAACTAACTTTAATCCTCACAATAATCCCATGAGCGAATCCCTGTTGTTATCCCCACTTTACAAATTAGAAAACAGCACAGAGAAGTTAAGCAATCTGGCAGAGATCACACCGCTAGCTGGTAAGAAGCACAGCCAGTATTCAGATCCATACATTTTGGCTCTAGTGTTTATACTCTTTTAAAAATATGTTTTTATTGACTTTTTCGAGAGAGAGGAAGAAAGAGGGAGAGATGGAAACAGTGATGAGACTCAGTGATCAGCTGCCTCCCACTGGGGAAATGGAGCCCTCCAAACCGGCTTGTGCCTTGACCTGAAATCGAACCTGTGACCTCCTGGTTCATAGGTTGATGCTCAACCACTGAGCCACACCGACCGGCCTTGTGTTTATACTCTTGATCACTACAAAATGCTGCCTCTGAGGTGGACATAGCTATCCTAGTTCCTAGTGTCCCCTTAGAAGTCCCTCTGGGTTTGGGAGGAAAGGGCAGGAGTATGAGGAGCTGCGGTGAGAGCACGTTGGCCTCTGCTTTGCCCCAGTTAAACCGGAGATTGCCCAGGTCGGGGCCAAGTACCAGGAAGCTCAGGGCCAGGGCCTCCTGGTTGTTCTTTTTGCCCTGGTCCGTGCCAACCCGCCTGCCAATGTGACCTGGATCGACCAGGATGGGCCGGTGACTGTCAACACCTCAGACTTCCTGGTGCTGGATGCCCGGAATTACCCCTGGCTCACCAACCACACAGTGCAGCTGCAGCTTCGCAACCTGGCACACAACCTCTCTGTGGTCGCTGCCAACGATGTGGGGGTCACCAGTGCCTCACTCCCAGCCCAAGGTGAGCGAGGAGCGTCAGTACAGAAACGGGAGGACTTGCTGCCCTTGGGATGAGGCTTGTGAGTGAGTGTCCCCAGCCACCTTGGGCAAGGAGGACAGAGTCGGACCTGTGGCATCTCAGAGTTGGGGGCCCTGCCTTCCTGGAACCTAACCAAAAGACCACCTGCAGGACTCCTGGCCACTCGGGTGGAAGTGCCACTGCTGGGCATCATTGTAGCCGGAGGGCTATCGCTGGGCACCCTGGTGGCATTCAGCACCTTAGTGGCCTGCCTGGTCTGCAGGAAAGAGAAGAAGACCAAAGGTAAGGCCAAAGTGATGGGTGGCTGGGAGAGTGGAGAGGAGGGCAGGGTGAGCAGCAGGGCAGAAAGTAGGGCGGGCAGAACAAGTCATCTGACAAGTGGCAGGACAGGTGTCTCCGGGGTGTGCCCACGGGTAATCCAGG